CTTTGGCGATAATTTGGCCTCGCTTTGCTTGTGGCAGACTCTGTCATCATTTTGGTCGCATTTTGACATTTCACATGTTGACAGACATGGTTAACAAACCATATCCTACTGAGGACACAGATGGATATGGTTCTGTGACCGAAATGTTTGCTGGGTATATATGTATATATTTATATATAAACATAACTATTATAATATTGCCTTACTAGTTTTTATTTTTGATGTTTTAAAGAAAATTTAACGCTAATTATACAAATCTAGTATAGTGTTTTATTTTTTATATTTCCATTAAATGTTTCAATGTGTCCGTTGCCTCCTCAGTGACATTCCCCGTTGAGAGCTTGAGACAGCCTAATTAGAGACGGTGATCCAAACTGAGAATTCTGTGAAGCCTGATGCCTCCGGGGCGCTCTCAATGCTTTTACAGAAACGTCTCCACTTATTGCACTTGGATTTCTTAATCTCCTTGCTGTACTCTCGTTGGGAGCTTCTAAAGGCCTCCCAGTGTACTGCAAGTCCTGTTCTTTTCGCTTTGCTGAATTTCTTTCTCGTTTCCAACCTGAGCTTACCGAGCTCTTTATTCCACCAGTGGATCTTGTTCACCGGATTCCTGGGTTTTGGTGAGCAGTTTAATTCAGAGGCGTTTGTAATGGCGTTCTTTAAAAAGTCCGCCGCGTTTTCCAAGTTGTTTTTGGTTCTGAAACAGGTTGAGGCCACAGCAAGCTGGGCCTTAAGGTCTAAAGCCCTCCCAGTTGGTTTTTTGTGGGTTGCAAACCCAGCTGATTTGCGGTATTTGTTGAAGAGTTAAGCGTATATGTCTGCTGTCCGACCCAAAGGGCTCATTTGAGACCCTCCAGTCCCTCACCAAACTCGCCACCCTCTCTGTACATATCGTAATATCGATGACTTCCTGTCTTCTGGAGTCCAGGAATGTCGGCTCGTTTTTTCTGTTGAGAATGGTTAATCCTGTGCCCATTAGGTAGTCGTGCAGACTCTCCCCCCGCAGGTTGGTGTCTGTGCTTCCCCATCCTACATGGTGGGAGTTTGCATCGCAACCCAGCAGGAGTTCGAGCTCTCTGGTTTCCGTATAGGCCACCAGATTTTTTACCTCTTCATGTGGTAGTGGATCCGTGGAGTCATAAAGCATATAAACTCTCTATTAATGCTTCCATGTCCTCTTCCTCGGCCAGCTTCACTCTCACCTTGATGACTGTGAGGTCCTCGCTGCTGAGCTGTAGCAGAAAGATAGCATTTAGTCCTTTTACTAAAATGCATGATCTTACTCTTTTTCTGAGTGTGCTTTGTATAAGCAGCCGCACCCACTCAGTCTCTTTACTGCACCATTCACAATCCATGGTTCTTGGATTAGTGCAATACTTGTATGCATCACAGCCATGCTCCTGGCTAGGATAGCCGAGGCGCTCTTGCTGTGATGCAAGTTAATCTGCGTCATTTGGATGCCGAGAAAAGCCATTTTTAGGCAGTCCGACACTCTCCGACTCCATTTCCTTCTCCGTCGCCTCCCCGCGCTCTTGTCCCGCCATCTTAACGGTGGCCCGGCTGAGACCGAAGAAAGGCCTAAAGTCACAGTGCTTCGAGGCTTCCATCGCCGAGTCGCCAACCAGACAGGAGAAGTGGACGCTCGTAGTATCCCTCCTATACGTCTCCCTGGTGACGACCCAATCGCTGGTTGCCTGTGTTTTGCTGATTGAGAAGCTTTAAAGCCTCCTCAACCCCTACTTGAGGCTCCTCCACATGCACCACCACCCGATGACGCTTAGGTAGCTCACCAACCGGCAGCACATGCAGAGGAGTTCCCCTGACTTTTACATCGGAGGAGTGGGCCTTTTGAGCAGGAGGCTGCGAAGATAGAGGGGACCTTATTGGCCTCACTCTTTCCGGCTAGCATCTGTTTATTATAACGGCGCCTAGCGGCCCCGCTATATCTTACGCGGTATTTTGGGGCTTCTGAGCCCGCTCCCGCACTACAAGATTCCCCTGGGCGTTCACCTCCAGAGGAGGCTTCGCTCTTGGGGACTGATTTGAGGATGATTGTATTTTCTTTTTCGAACTCCAATTTGCTCCCACGAGTATCGCGGTCGCGCAGTCTCACCCAGCCAGAGCCGCGAATGGCTGGGGCTTGGCTCCGTACTCCTGGATTTCGCCCGGTATCCAGGAGGCACCGTTCACGACGCAACTCTCCTTGCGCCACGCAGCTCTCGGTATGGTCGCTCACACCTTAACTTAGGGGTTTCCTCTTAGTTGGTCACAGACTGGCCTATCCCTGAGCGGATGACCACTGCCCGCGACTATAAGTCCCACCATCCGCTCCGGCGCGAAAGTCCACAGCCCTCGAGGACACCAGATGCTCACTTTCTGTGGTCAATTGTTGTCAGATTACACTTCCATTGTGACGGCACGACCAGGCAGATCCGCCAGCGTCCAGAGAGGAGCTGACGATCAATGCCCGGCCACGCCGCCACCAGCACATGCTGGGAACAAAATAACGTTCCGTGTAGTTACTGCGAGGCGGCCAGACCACGTGCACACTGAGCGCTCCGCGAGCCCCGAGCTCCAGCCTCGGAGCTACTACA